ATACATCTTCCGGATGCATCTGTCTCGTGGAAACGTGCACGACCCGTTCCACGTGATCTCCTCATTAGTCGTGACGCGTTTATTCGGTGCGATGAATTGACCATGATCTATCGATCACGCTGATATGACGAGTATTATCTTCCTCAACTTTCTTGTCCACGTGAACAATTATTACGCACGTCGGTAGGCACGATCAGTGTCGTCGTGCGCTCGCTGATTAAATATTCTCTCATTATCATCCTTCCACGATCTGCGCGAACCGCGAATTCGTTGCATCGGCGAACAAATCCTCCCTTTGCAACCCTTTCTCCTCTCTCTCTCTCTCTCTCTCTCTCTCTCTCTCTCTCTCTCATCCCTCTCTCGCATCGGCACGTCGGTGGATCGATGACCGGCGATCAACCCGGTGCACACCGCGACACCATCCACCTCCATTCGTACCATCGCGCATCGGCTAGTCGTGCCGCCTGGATGCAGGGGCCTCGACATTTTGACGGCTTCTCTCAGTGCGACCTACTGTGCGCTACCCCATGCTTCCCCTCTCCTCTTATTCCCACCCTCTGCTCCCTTTCGCCCTCCACCAGACACCTCCACTCCTCCTCTTGCCGTGATCACCGCGCGTTACACGCGCGCAGATGCACGTGAATTCGGTCGACGCGCCGTCGATGCCCGATGGCGCTTCGATGCGGTCTCCGCCGCTTCCCGGTGATGTTAATTGACCACTCGGGACACCCGCCCCAACTGAAATTGGCATCGATTACATTATCGGCGGACGGTTGAAAACGAGGACGGGAAAATTGCGCCGATATTTGTCGTGAGTGAGCGTTTCGAAGCCGAAACATACGATACAACCGACGATACGCGAATCAAAATATGTAGAAAGTGCAGGAGATAAAAAACTAAATTTAATATTATGGTAAAGTAAAGAAACGATCAATGCAAGAAGCGACTAGTCGAAGGAAATTAAATATTTCCAATCAATTTAGTTTGTATCATATTCAGATCATTTAGCTAATATATTATGCATGAATATTTAAACACTAAATCATTTTACGTACTTATAATTATCTAACATATTGATGTCGTATATATTAATAAGACATATACATTTTTCATGTTCAAATTTTTATATACCTATATTTAAGCATAGATATTAATATTTAGATATTTATTTTATATTTAAGTTATTTTTACTGATTTTTGTGATGCTGGCATTAGGTACTATTAAATTGACGTTCAATTAATTCACAGTTGTGAGATTATTATTTCAGTTTCTGATTATGTTTCAGATCCCGCAAACTGAATCGACGCACAGAATTGATAATTATACTTATTTATTCACGTATGAATACTAACAATAAGCACCAAGACCTGTTTTTGCCGAAAATGGCGTTCTTTTGTTATTTGTGTTTAAACAACACTTTTCGGGTTTCATTTAATATTGTTTTATACAATATATTTATCCCTAAGAAATTTAAACTCTATTATGTCAAGAAAGAAAATACATGCTAATCTATGATATGAATAATAAAACGCCACATGTAAACGAAAGTGCGTAGTGAAATTATAGGATGATTAGCTAACCGCGCATATAGTGATACGGTAATTTGCGGTTCGTCCAAAGAAACGAAGAAGAATCCGTTTGAACAGTACTCTCGGCTACGAGAAACACGGACAAAAATAATACGTATCGATCTAACGGGTTAACTATCTTTACTATCCCTCGAAGGACGCAGAATAAGTATAATAGTTTTTAAAAAATTGGTTATTCCAACTATTCCTACGGTATTTATTCAAATCCTTTCTGAGAAAAATTTATAATAAAAAATAAAAATACATATTTAATATTGTACATATTTTAACTTTTTCATCCCTTTTGCATGAAATTGTTTGAAATTGTTTGGAAAAAGTTTGCAAAAGTTTGTATTATTTAATAAATATTGTAACAAATGCAATTTTACACTATTTTGAAATATGGCATTACAGTAATTTTTATAATGCAAGAAAGGGACGAGATGAGCGGATGTAACTGGCGAAAAATCGGAGGGGTACGCGAAATCGAGCGAAAGTTAGAGATCCAGTCGGCGACGCGACGCGACGCCTGGCGCGTACGCTTGCACGCGCTCGCAGCAACTGTGGCGACGGCGACGTTCCTCTCGCGCACGAATACGCGGGAGCAACGCGGGATATACGAAGCATAATCGCTAGCTAGTTCGTCCGCTCGCTCAGTCTCGGTGGGTGTAGGCAGAAGGTAGATAGGTAGGTAGGTAGATAGGCAGATAGGTAGGTAGGTAGGTAGGTAGGTAGGTAGGCAGGCAGGCAGGCAGCCAGGCAGGCAGGCAGGTAGGTAGGTAGGTAGGT